AAAACTACCATAGCTTCAATTATCCATTTCCCTATTATTGCATGGAAAGTGCTTCTTAGTCAGCAAGTTGATTGTGTAAATGACTTAAATCAAGAATAAAAAGTAGAATTAATTAGGTTAAACTTCCAGAAATTAATTCTCGTAATTTGCTAGACCAAATTAGAAAAATAACCCTTCTATTAATTTACCTCAAATTTTACTCTTGAGTTCAAAATTAAACCATGATAAATTAGGGATGTTTAACACATCCCTAATTTTCATGGGTTAATTTGACTCTCTAGCGACCTAAATTAAATTATCAAATTCATCGGTCTAAACTTGTCCTAGGAATTTGATAATCCATAAACATAGATCTCTATGGTAGTTTGGTGTGAATTCTTCGTAATGTTAGGGCTAAATGTTAGGATTCATCATAAGTGATTTCATCATAATCCAAGCCCTAGATTAAGCTAGGAAATTCATAGAAGGTCTAGTGTATAAAATTTTAGAAACTTCTCATAAATTTTAAAACCATTAAATTAGTTTAAAATTTTTAAGGTTTGCTCCTAGGGTCCTTAGGGACCTTTGGAATTAATTCCATAATTATTTAAAATAACTTTAACCCTAAAACACCTAAGACCTTTTAATAAATTATAATTAAATAAATAAGAAAAAAATATATAAGGTAAATTGAAATTTCTTATAATTAAGAGTATAACATAGGAAAATAAAATTCCCATTCCAAATTTAATAAATAGCATGAATTTAAACTTTGAATATTGAATAAATAAATAATTTAATAAATCATTAAAAATTAAATATAAATCCAATTAAGCTAAAATATTCATAAATTTTATATTAGGTCATTCCTAACCTATGTATATAGTTTCTTGGCCATTTGAGGTCATTTTAATCAATTATAATCTAACCTTAGGTTACTTAATAAAGGCTTAATAAATAAAAGTCTCGAAAAATTTTGGATCTGTTCAAAGGGTTCAGATGGAGTTTTTCCCTTCGAGTCATGCAAACGTCTTGGTCATCTTAGGAGTGAATGTAGTATCCTTTCGTCTGCCCCGTTGTGTGTTCTCCAATCTCACGTGAATCTTGTTTGTTCTGTTGGGAATGCTAAAAGTAATGAAATTGTTGTTCCTTCATCGGTTGAGATTGATTCAGTGATCCCTGTTGCTGGTGCTCCTCCTTTTGAGCACTGTGTGGTTGTTGTGTGTTGTGCTGATGGTAATGTTGGTGATAATGTCTTGGTGGCTTCCCCTAGGGGTGAGATTGAGACTGTTAGTCCGGACATTGTTGATCTTGAAAGCTGGTAATGAGTTGCTGAATGTGAGAGATTAAGAACTTTCTATTATTAATATGGGGCAGTGAATATTGATTCCAGATCCTGTTGTTGCTTCTCTTGTGATGCCTGATGATCTGGTTGTTTTTGTCTCTTATGTGGGACTGGGTGTGAATAAACAGCTTGCTGATGTTCCTGTTGTTCTACTTTCTTCTAACGCCTTAGATTCTCTTGTGGGCGTGAGATCAAGGGAAAATGTTATGGAGCAAATTGATTGGCTTGAAAGCTCTCCTTCTTATCTTTCTAGGGAGCGCTGTCTCTGGTTCATGTATCCTGAACTTTATGCTGAGTTTTTGGACGGAGTAAAGAAGAGCAGCGGACATCTCCCCACTGAATTCCCGGAGGTGATTAAGGAATCATTTGAAGATAAACTTATGGACTCCAGCGAACTCGCCGCCAATAACTTCCTAGGTGAAACTTTGGAAGGTTACTTTTTTTTAGCTGCATATTCCTGTTTCTTCTTTTGAGCTCTACCCTGAATTCTCAACCATAGATTCTACAATCGAATTCGCTAGCGTCGATCACCTAAGAGAAATCCCTGATGAATCAGTTGAGGATTACCTCCCCAAACTTGCCACCAATGAATCTTTCGGTGTGCCATAGAAAACAGAGATTTCCCAAGGCAGCTCTTTTGAGCAACATACTTCTGTTTCCTGTGTTGAACTCTGCTCTGACTTGTCAACGGTAGAATCTTCCATTGAATTCAAGGAGGCTTTTGGAGATCTACCAAGTAAAATCTCTGCTTTAATTGATGAATCAGTTGAAGCTGTCCTCCCAAACTCCGGCGAGCTCACTGCGGAGAACTCACATCAGATTCCAGTTTTTTCCACTGCTAAAATCGGCGCTGCCAACAATGCCCCTACCATTTCTTCAACTCCCAAGCTTCCATGCGAGTCTGAATCCATGTCTCTAGAGGAGCTATCAATAGTTCAAACTCAGTCATCTGGAGAAACTGGCATGGCTGCGACTGAGACCAAGACCAAAGCCTTGGAGGAGGAGGTTGAGGAGGTTTACCTCAAAGATGAGAACTTGGAGCTTTTGAGTTTAACAAAACTTACGGCAATGTACAAACAAATACTGAATGGTACAAAAACTGAGCAGGAGAGGAAGAAATCTATAATCAAACCAGAAGATTTGGAGCATTTGAGCAGCATCAAACACGATGAAGACTGCAAGTAGAAGTTGAATGATGATATGATTAAGTCGGAGAGCAAGAAATCTGTGATCAAACAAGAAGACTTGGGAGTGCCTGAGCCGCAGCAAACTTGATTCAAACAAGCAAAAGTTGAATGACGATAAGATTAAGTCGGAGAGAAAGAGAACTCCGCTCAAGAGTCTGAATTACAGCACTTTCTGATGCGTGAAGATGAAGACTGCATTATGATGAGATTGCTCTAATTAGTGTTATGTTTTAGATTGTTAGGGTTGTGAAACCAAGTTTTCTCCAGCCACTATTTGATCATATCTTTATCTTGAACTCAACTAATAATTGAGAGTAGTTTGAGAAGTTTTTTTTTTCCAACAATGAGTAAATTGTTAAGTTAAAAAAAGAAAAACAAAGGAGGATTTGATCAATATTTTACTGTGATTGGCACTGTCAATACTAAGGCAACTCTAGACAGGGGTGGAACCAGCTTCAATTTTGAGGGGGGCAAATACAGCACAAAAATAATTAAATATGCATGCCCTAAGAACTGCATGGTTCCGCCTATGACTCTAGGGTTCTCTTCTCGGCACCTCTTGTTGCCGATCGTGGATCCTTTTTGTTTGTTTTCTTCTAGCTTTTTTCATTTAATGGTTGCGTTTTGCTCTTTTTAGCTTTGGTTTGTTGTTTTCTCATTTTCTTGTGGGCTTGGGCGATGATGATGCCATCATCATCGAACACTGGGATTTGGTCAAAGGTTGATGGTATTTCTAGGTCTTTCAAAGATGTTGTTGTGGGTGGTATTTCTCCTTCTTCCTCGAAGTTGGATTTGATTCAAACTTCATTCCAGGGTTTGCTGGCTTTAATGTTTGATGACAATGTTGTTTCACAACTTGCTGCACCGCTTGCTTTTACTTTGGTTGAAAAATTTAAGCTTCGAAGACCGAATCTGGACATCATACAATTTTTTTTTCTTTCCCTAAAACTTTATGGAACATGTACCATTGGCTTACTAGACCAGCAATATATAACGATAAAATTCTCTAATGATTTAGACTATAGGACTATAGTCACATATTTTCCAGAAGAGCATATTACATTCAGGGCTGCCAAATGCGTTTACTCAAATGGACTCCTGATTTTGATGTTAGAAAAGAATCACCAAGAGCACATATTTGGATATCTTGTCCCAATCTAAGGCCACTTCTTTTTAATTCAGAGATATTATTTGCTTTAGGTTCCATCTTTGGTAGACCCTTACAGATAG